GGAATGGGTTATAGGGACTACTATACGGGACTTTAAGGGACTATCATAGGGATCCATTCCCCCATTCCCTACTAAGCACCAGACAGAAACCCCAAAGCCTAACCCTAAACCCTAAAACCCAAAACCCTGTCGTAGGATCAAGGCCTGGCCGTGTCTGTTTCTGTCTCGTGGTCTTCGCGCACCATCGGGTCTCTCTGACACGGTTTAGGGTTTAGGGTTTAGGGTCTTTTCAGGGTTTTATGAGGGTTTGGGCGTAGCTAGGGAAGATGTGCTCGCAAAGCTACTACAATAAACCCCCGATTAAGGCCCCTGTCTTGCACGATACGGTTAAAAGATTGGATTGGGGCTCTTGTACTCTTGTAAGCCTCTGACCTTTCGGGGAGTTGTAAAAACGAAGCCTGAATTATTGGAACCTTGTTTCCAGAAGCAGTATTATAATCTTATAAGAACTATGAGGGAACATGCTCAGGCATTCTTCCGGCCCCCGGTATCATGTGAAGACATCTAAATCTCTTTCCGAACTCAGGGCTTTCTCAGCGACGGACATCGCCTGACGACCTCTGGCAGGCAAACGTATGAGAGCTGACGATTTTCTTGAGGCTTTTGAGCACCCTAAACCCTAAACCCTAAACCCTAAACCCTAAACCCTAAACCCTAAACCCTAAACGGTAACGGGCTTCATGAGGGTTTTGACGTTAAAGGGTTCTTCAGGATTCTGCGCGGGTGCTGTATTACGCCTGTATTCAATTCAAGGCTAAACTACCCAGAGACTCCAAAGCCCCTTAATTAAGGAATATACCTTAAGTCATATTAGGGATCATATTAGAATTAAACCCTAAACCCTAAACCCTAAATTTAAGGTATGTTCCTTAATTAAGGGGTTTTGGAGTCTCTGGGTACCAGTATCTGGCTTCCGAAGGGGAGGGATTCTCTAAATCAGGGGTTTAGGGTTTAGGGTTTAGGGTTCCGGGGGCGCTTGCAGTCCTGATTATCAGAGTGACCCCTCTTCAGAGTACCTATTAGACAACCAAAGATATGTGAACGCCAGGCAAGGATAAAGAGGTTGATGCAACAGTGCTCCCACTACGAAGTTTAAAGCTATGAAGGCTCAGTGAAGAAATACAGTATGACATACTGCGTTCTGTGTTGCTAATCCAAAGCCTACCAGAACCCCCAAACACTATATACACGCCCTACCTGCATCGCAGACATGGCCAACTTGCGGAATGGTTTAGGGCGTTTAGGAAATAGGGTTTACGGTTTAGGGTTTAAGGTTTAGGGTGCAGGGGCTCTTTAAGTAAAATACAAATTGGGCTAGATGGTCGCTAAGTGGGGCTGGTAAACCCTAAACCCTAAACCCTAAACCCTAAACCCTAAACCCTAAACCCTAAACCCTAAACCCTACCCTAAACATAGCAATCATAGCTTTACTTGAGCAGCTGCTAGCGGCCCAACAAGGCCTATCTAAGGAAGTATAGTGCCCTACCCTAAACTCTAAACCCTAAACCCTAAACCCTAAACCCTGCCCTACCTTAGGGTTTAGGGTTTATGCCCTCCCAGTTGCCCATTTCAGGAGGCCTTATGACAAATGTGAACAACTGCTCTCGCAATGGATCTTTCAAAGGTGTTGGTGGCCTGATTGAAGCCCCGTTAGACACATAAATGAATCAGAATCTCTAGGATTGCGAAGCCTTAAAGAACCCCCGGCGTAGGTTATGAGCAGGATAGCCCCACGTAAGGCACCAACAGCAAAGGAAACCCAAGGAATAGCACTAGGCTTCTGTGAACTATAAACCCTAGACCCTGATTCTAAACCACCCATGAGGTCGGCGAATCCAAACGCACAGGGTTCGGTTTGTGTACGGTTTTGAAGCATAAACCCTAAACCCTAAACCCCTAAACCCTAAACCCTAAACCCCGAATCGGTCTGAGGACTCAGTCATAAGAGCTGCCGATAGCCTCTGTCGTGATGACCCCTTAGCCTCAGTCATGAGGGAGTTTCCGAAAATTAGGGTACCTTATTTGGGGGTCCTTATAATAAGGATCCGACTATTCCCCTATTTTCGGAAACCCCCATGAGGTCACCCTAAACCCTAAACCTAAGCCGTGTCAATGTCTACTTCCCCGTCGTCGCTCCTCTTATAACTATACTAGGAAATACCCCCAAACCGTAGTCAACACATGTAAGGCCACTATTTCAAAAAGGGCTTGGTTAGTATTGTACGTAGAGTATACACTGTATGTATATATATATATATATGTATATTTATGGCTAGTTCTCTAAACTGGGGTCCCTTTTGGTCACCTTTTTATAAGGGTGCCGTACTATACTCAGGACCTAGCAAAGGACCCTAATTTAGAGAACTACCCATATATTTTTCTTCATATACAAAGTAGATACATCCATAGAAGTGCAAGAGGCCGTTGAAATCAGCAATACGACCCCTTGTAAGCTTGTAGTCCCTAGTTATGTTGTTATTTGTCATCAACGTACGCCCAAACCTTACCCCAATTATTCAGAACTCTATACAACAAACAGTTTTACTCAGAACCTAAACTTTAAGACCCTAAACCCCAAACCCGAAGCC